AGATAGATAGATAGATAGATAGATAGATGACTGGTAGATAGATAGATGACTGATAGATAGATAGATAGATAGATAGATAGATAGATAGATGACTGGTAGATAGATAGATAGATAACTGGTAGATAGATAGATAGATGACTGGTAGATAGATAGATAGATAGATAGATGATAGATAGATAGATAGTTAGATAGATAGATAGATAGATAGATAGATAGGCAGGCAGACAGACAGACAGACAGATAGACAGATAGACAGACAGACAGATACACACACACACACACACACACGCTTTATGGGGCAATCAACTCCACGCCGTGGTGTCAAAACCAAATTATAGGTGGAGCAGGTGGAGGAGAAATGCGTCTTTGCCGTTTTCTGCCTCTCCGCCACCCACTCTGCAAAAGGAAACAAAAATAAATAAATAAAAACAAAAAGAGAGAGAAAGAGAGAGAGAGAGAATAGCTCACCCCGGGCCCTTTGAGCATACTCCCGCTGCTAAGGCACGATAAATAATAAATAACATGACGCCAGTGCTTTAAAAAGGGCCAAGAAATTCTGCAGTGCTTCGCCAGTGATCTGTTGCCTTCACAAGATCACGCCTGCTGGGCAACCTCCCGAAATCTCTCCGAGTTGGAAGCCTCTTCGTCAGATCCAAAGGGGGTGGGGGGGGGGGGGGGGAAGAAATTTGTTTGTAACGATGTGGCACAGATAGGAGACCACCAAGGGTCCGTTTTCTGGCTTTACGGTGCCACCTCGACCTTTTACAGAGGTCTTATTAGCGTAGAGACCTTAAATTAAAAAAGAACCCACAATTGATGTGCAAACTGCCAACATATCTCCTCCCTCTGGTTCAAAAGGACCATAAACCAAGGAATAAATTCAGATGTATTTCTTGCAGCTCTGAAGCGGAGATACAAACAAGATACTGAATGCAAGCAGTATTATATCCTTTTGCATATACTTACACAGCTAATCCTCGAGTTACGGCCACAATCGGGGAGCAAATGATTGTTGTGGCCCAGTGAGGAGGTTGGGGAGGAACATGGACCAGTCCTGGAGTCTGGGGAAAGCTCTGATGAGGGCTCTGGGTCAGAGGCAGAGATGGGGCCAGGGCCGTCCGACAATTATCAACTGCCTTTGGAGTCGGAGATCAGTGGGGAAGAAGAGCAGCTGGAGCCTGTTCCCAGTGTGCGCAGGCGCAGCGCTGCCAGGAGAAGGGAACAGCTAAGGAACAAGGGCCGACTCGGGAGTAAAATCACAGGTGGGTGGTAAATGGCCCCTCCCATAGAGAATAAAAGAGGAGTGAAAGGGGAGGGTTTTTTTTTGCAGGAGACAATTAGTTCATTTGGGTGAAGATCTGTTCCTGCACCCTTGCTGAGTATTGTCTCCTACAGTGTGGCATCTGAAAGATGTCGGCCTGGCATCTCACCAAGCCTGATAAGACTGTTGGCCGGGACTTTGGTGGAGAGGAATTCACCGTAAACTAAATAAAAGGGGTTTATCGGGACGAGGAGTCGGCTTTGTGCTGTTGT